GAGTGGGTGTGTTTTGCAGTGGATAGTGGTGGAAAACTACTTCCATAATGGAGCATAGCACCCGGCGAATCTTTCATTCAACATTGCGTGGTGAATTATACTGAACCCCAAGTACGAAACCCCTGTTATCAGCTATTAAAATTAAGGCTTTTTACGAAATCCAATTTCTACGAAACCTCAAAGGATTTCGATTTGGTTGCAAAAATCGGAAACCTTTAGGGTTCGGTATGGTACCTTTTTTTTTCAGTGTAGAGGTTCAGATTTTTGAAGAACCGTACTGGTACCAGTCTGAAAGTGTTAGATAGATTTGATTCCGTTGCAACCTATAGTAGAATAATACTTCTACTTCGACTACCTTTCAGTAAAGGGCCCTGCCCAACAGCAGCTTCATTGAAGTGGGTCTGCGAAAAATAACAATTTATATCGTTTTGCTTTTAGCTCTAAGAGTTGCATCAGTCTTCCTCCTTTACTCCTTTTAATGTCCTGAGTAGCAAAGGTGCAAAATACTCGAAAGAAACTGAAGCTTACAGAAGAAATAGGTGTGCTAAACGGACTAAAGGTACTAGAAACTATGTAATAGAAAATGTTTCATATTGCTCCTTCATCTGACCTAATGCCAGTAGTAGAACAATTTTTTAAACGGAAAAGAGCTGTAAAAATTTGCTAGTTTCGGATAATTGTCTCCATTGAATGAATTTTTAAATTTTGATAAATAAAAAAAAAGAGTTGTTGTGTAACTTGAATATTAATGGAAGCATAAATATCGTTATGGAACGAATGATCTACCTCATGATTGTTTTACACATACGTCGTTTTTGATTTTTTACATGGAATAGAGCTACTGCTATGTCTGACGTTTGTAAACTATTTAAAGCAAAGTATCTTTTGATAGATAGCTTCAACGTGCACGGGCAACACAGATGGGTGTGGGTGTCGGTGTGGGTAAGGAAGACACCCACACCCATTATAACATAGGGTAGCGACGAATTCTGCATCGGTGTGATAAATATCTTTTAAATAAAATCTCAAATTTTGAAATCAGATTTATTTTTTCTGATAGTCTTTGATATGAATCTATTTTATTGATCTTTTGCCAAAAAGAGTCTCTTGATTTTCGTATAATCAATCACGTATATCGACCGAAAGATCAAAACGGTTTTAAAAGTGGTAAAAATACTCCTCCAACAACACTACGTGCATGGAATCCCACTTGCCGACCTGTCTTTGTATCATACAGATCGGAAAAAGGGACTCTATCGACGGAAACATTAAGGAAATCATATAATGGAGTGATAAAAGCTTGAAAGACTTGTTTTGTTTTCGCAAGACAAGCCGTCCATACAATCCAATCAGCTTTCGTATAATCTGCTCGATAGTCTAATGGAAGACCAAATTTGTTCTGATGCTTCAGATAATAATTAATTTCCTTTTGTGCTACAGAAGTGGGAAATATATTGAAATTGAAAAGTTGTTGCCACACAAGATTATACTTCTGGCTCCAGCTTCCTTTTCTATCGAATGCAAGCCGGTAATGATCACCATCGTCGGCTAATGTTAGCCATTTGGCTGCCATTTTCTGTGCAATCAGATAGAAAAAATCTGCTTGCGTTTTATCCATTCGCAATTCACAGAGCTTCGCAAAAGCTCCAATCGCCATAATTGCCTTTAGTGAAAGATTAGCATTATGTGCAAGGTGGCCGGCGAAGTCATCTGTGCATAACTGATTTGATGGATTTAAACCAAATAGCAAAATATAGTGTGCCCATTTTTGTAGTATTTCCCAGTGTTGGTCAGCTAAATCTGTTTTGTTTTGTATTTTGCAAACAGCAGCAGTTAGAATAAGCATATTACCACATTCTTCGACGGGCATTTGATATTGTTCTGAATGTTCACCACCTCCATATACTTGTCCATTTGCTTGTGGATAAATTCCAAGATCATGAGGAGCAAAAGGAAATTTCCAAGATGGCCTTGCAGCATAGTTGAGGACAGGTACAATTTGAGCCTTGAGTAGATCTGAATTGAAATAAAGAAAGAAAGGAGCACCTGGATAGGTTACATCTATTGTTCCCATACAACCATTGCTGCTATTCTCTTTACTAAACATGAGTAATGTGCCGTCAACATCTTGAACAATGGCGTGAGCCGACAAGCATTGCCGAAAAGCTAGTTCAGCAATTTTTGAATATTTTGTTCCACCGCGATCATTCAACTCTTGGCGAAGTATTCTATTGAATTCATTGCATCGATTACGAACTGAAACGTATTCAGATTCTGCTCTTATCAATAGTTCATCTATCTGAAGACCATTCCGCTTCCAATAAGGTTTCAATTTGCGATGAAAATACTCGACCGAATACAATTCGTCGTAAGCGAGCAATAAATGACGAGAAACTGGATAACGGCTTACTTTATTAAATGTAAGAACAGCTGAAATACCTGGCCAATCATCATTGACAGCTCGTGGAAACTTCATCGTGTTGGAATTTGGTAAAATGCCTTGATGAGCGAATGTGTTACGGCTTAGTTCGGTGGCACCTATAAACGTTTGACCTTGTGTGGCCTCGGGTATGGCTAAATATTGAATTCCCCAATCTATTCGAACGTCGTCACCTTTTTTCCCGAGAATCAACTGTTCAACAGACTTAAATGAGAGTACTTGTATGTCTTTAACATTGTGTTGTGCTGCAAGGACTTTTTGATTAACGTCATTGACGACCAATTCTGCTGTATTGTCGAAATAGATTTCTACAGAATGTTCATTTCCATCTGTAGCATGCAACGTAAAGTTCACATAAGTAACAGGTCGAGTTAGAAGATCAAGATCTTTCGGCAGAAGTGGAGAAAGAAATTCTACGCTCAAAGCAATACCATACTCTTCAAATTCGAACGTGGTTGTGGTCGCTGACACGGTTACACTCTTTTGTGTAAGAACTGGAATGTCAATTGGCTGCAAACCCATAAAACGCAGAGCAGATCCGTCAATTCGAATTAAACCGCACATCGATTGAGTATGCCCCGTCCAATGTGTACTCCATACGTCGGCCAACTGGTTAGCCATGCACCAAATACTAAAGTAAGGTGTGTGAGTCACTAAGGGAATCGAAGGAGGTCGAAATTTTTCGGTCGACATGCTGTGCAGTTTGTTTCAAATTAGAAAGGCAAGAGATATTATTTCGATGATTTTTCTAGTATGCTGAAAAAGTAAAATGAGGACGAATATTTACATATTTCTGCTCATTACATAGACAATAAAGATATTTCTTTGTAAAAGGAAAAGAAAAAAATATCAAAACATTTTGTTTTCTACGTGTTGTATTATAGAAAAAAAGATCCAAACTTTCTGTGTTCTATAAAGAAAAAACATGTGACAGAATTCACCAGAACGTACATAGGAAGTGACAGAAAGCAAAATGAAAATAAAGCGAAAGTGGAGAGAAAGTAAAAGGATGTATTAAGAAATGAAACAAGTCAAAATTGCTGTCCTATTTTCGTTCTTTATTAGTAGCGTTATATTTTTTTGCTTTTTTCCATATGATTTTCGAAAACCGAGATGATACCAAAAATATTCACGACGCAATGCTGTATCCACTGCTGACATGTTGAATGAGCAAAAACACATGCTATGGGGACGTCTCTGAATATAACTGCTACGTAAGAGCACATATGATTCCTTTCCATGGTGATGACCAGGTGGCAAGCACCATTTTTCTCTGCTTATTACGTACATTCGGATTATTGTGTTCATTAAGATTTTATTCTGCAGAGATGTAAACGAAGGGAATTTCTTGAAAACGCGTAAAACGTATACCATCATTTTTTCTTGATGCTATAATTTGAGTGACATGATAGTCAAGTCTAACCACAAATACCATCAATTTAGAAATCTCAATTAACGCTGTCAATGTTTTTGTTAAAATTCACTTATTCAACAGTAATCTAGGATTAGATTGATTGTGCTGGCTTTTTCAAGCGAGTAGGAAGACAGAAAGGAGTAATGGTTTCTAAGTGAATAGAAAAAGTATTGTTTTTTTTGATAGATGAAGTATTTTCTTTGTAACAAGAAGGGAAACCATTCTTTAGTGGTATTTTTTATCCTGCTTGCAATAAAATACCAATCAGTATAAGCGCCATCCTATTGCATGTTTACACTATTCGAATTTCATCTATTTCATCACATGAAACTTTTGAGAGAAAAATGCTATCGTACGTCAACATCTATTTTCACCTTAAATGTAATATTTACATAATAAAGTTGCATTCATCTGGAAATAGTCATTTGAATTCCGCTTGTATTACTAAATAGAACAGTTATTCAATGACAGTTACGATTCCAATCATAAATAAAATACGACGATGAGCTATCACCAAGGGGAAAACGACGGGCTTGAAGTAGAAAAGTACGCCAAAGTACTTCAAAGTAAGGACAAGTAGCTTAAAGTAACCTCAAGTAACTTCAAGTCCAAAAGTTCAAAAGTTTGCCGTTTCCCCCCTTGGCTATCACTGTTAATTCACTAAGAGAAAATCTGATTAACGTTTGAAAATTCAGTGTCAGAACATCTCTAGAGGTCATCGCTAAGTTTCACATAGAACATAAACGCAATTAAAAATCAAATTGAACATATAGTTTGCAAAAAGACCTGATTATAGAAACGAGGTTGAAGGTGTGTCAACTGCATTGATACCAGCAATGTTGATAAAATTTTTGTCAACGTTCATCATCATAGCATTCATATTCATAACGAGTGAAATCATCGTATAATCAACATTTCCAAGTGCTAATTACCCTCAAAATTCATCAATTTCAGTCCATAGTCATAGGTGTGTGTAAATGACAAGGGGGGGGGAGCAAACTGATTTCTTGATCTCCGTGATTTCTTTGATTTCTATGACTGGAAATCAGTTTTTATATAATCATTGCAAACCAGCAGAAATCATTGGAAACGTTTAGAAACGTTGAATAATGATGAAAAATCACTAGAAATCAACAGTGGCCACTAAAAACATTGCACATTCTGAAAAAAACAGGAAATTAGTAAAAATCATCAGTAATTAATAGAAATCAATATTACCTTTCGCTATATAATTCGAGAATTTCTGTGATTTACGTTTTTCTACATTTTTTTCTTGTAATTTCTAACAACTGAGTCGTCATTCACATCTTTAATGTATGATGATTTTCTAGTGATTTCTATGCCTGGAAATCAATTTGTTTCTCCTTGCTTTCTACATTAAATTAGAGGCATTAGTTTGATTGTGAAAAACAATGAAAAAACCTTCGCTAATAAGTTTTGTTACTGATAGATTGTGATTTTTCATTATACAGAGACGTGCATTTTTGTATGGAAGAAAAATCAAATCTTTTTACTCTTTTTTCTATAAAAATACATGCAAGATAGCTCCTAGTCTAAAAAACGTTTTCCGTAATCATCATCACTGGATTTATTCATCAACACGCGTCTCCATTTCACTGAATAGTTTATTATTCATTTCTCTTCACTGCATCCTACTGCTCCCATAACATATCTTAACTTACTTACTCATGTACACAACGATAAGGTAAATCTGCATCTTCAGAGAATAAAGAACGTTATCGATTGTGGTAGACTATATAATCAGTATTAGCTAGTTTCTGAGGTTCCTTAGTCTAATAACTAAGACCGATTCCAAAGCATAACAGATTCTATTAGATCATAATCGATATCATTCAATTTTAATCTTGAAAAAGTCATCAGTTACCTTTGAAAATAGATTACTCCTGAAAATAGATTCTAACTGATTAATAAGTAATCAGAAACAAGCGATTATACTTCGTATTAATCGATTTTATTCAATTCTAGTAAAAAAACTCGACGATTATCGATGAAAAAATATTGATTCCAAATCAAACACGAGAAAAAGCCGATTATAATCTTAAAATTAATCAAAAAGCACAATTACTAGAATTTCATCAATTATTGGAACTCCGAATCGATGAAAATCATGTAAATGTTGATTTTTAGGCTTATTTTTTTTACATGGGTCGATGCACCTGTCTGAAAGCCGTGAAATTCATTCGTCGTACATAGATGTTGTTAGTCGTCTTGATAAAAACTTCATAATCAATTTTCCTAAGCTTTATAATGCACGACACTGTGCACAAGTCATCCATTCTGTGTTACATATATCGAATACAATATACGACTTCGGACCAGTTCATACTTTCACTACGTTCCAGTTCGTTTTCGAACTGGGTAAAATTTTTGAATTATTTAATTTTATTGATAAAGATTTTTTATTCTATAGGCTTTTTGACGCGTATCACGAAAAGCACCAGGAGACATTCAGAAGAATTAATAGGTAATCTTCATCTAATACAGGAAGCATATTTTTGCCATTTGAATAATTTTATTTTATGAATTCGAGTTTTGCCAACTATCTATTTAATCGATTCGGTTGCCACCGTAAAAGTGATGATTCAAAGCACTGCCAATTGGGTCACTTACGAAAAGAGGATGATTCACTAGTTCGTCTTCTTTTCCCATTCACACAAATCAAATATTACCAAATTGTTCATGTTGGCAGAATTCGTTTATGCACACGTACCTATGCTGATGGGAAAGCTGCTGATGACTCAAATATAATTTTTATCTTTGATAATGTGCAGCATCCTGGTAAAATTCGATCGATTTTTACCATTGATGATGGTGAACCTCATCTCCTTGTCGTATACATCGCAAATCTTACTCCACTCACTTGTGAAATCGATGATACGGAGAATTTTGTTTACCGCAATATTCTTTTCGCAACAACTACTAAGTGGAGTTACGTTCCGATAGAAGTCAGAGCTTTTGTTGAAAAAAGTATCTTTTTTCGAAGTTCGGCAGGTATAACCTACTTCTTCAGACAACCGACACTTGATCATTGTTCGTGAGAAATTGTGAAAAATGATTGCATGTATTTCTCATCGCTTGATTTTGTTTGTTAAAAGAAGAAAATAAACTGTAACATCAATGGAACCGAAGCGTTCAAACAGCTAATCAATATTTTTCTTGTATTTGCTTCGGTAGTAACTTCGATTGATCTTTAGAGCACACAACTTAAGCGTTTAGAAATCAATTGAAAATTTTTTTCTATAATGATATAAGTGAATCAGAAAGCCATCCAAAAGATGAATTCTTCGAATCAACGCCAACAAATGCATTTACATATTGACTAGAACTAATTATTTCTAATGTCATATGTAGTAGACATCATTATTGAGGGACACTGATAATCAATGACAGTAGCTACATATCATTGCCAATTGTTGCAAGGTGATTACAATTTTTTGTTATAAAAAAATACACTTTAGTTCGTTAAATTTGCTTCCCACAAATATGATGAGTGTATTTGCCGTTTATGACTCTATAAATTGCTGTCTCTACATCTGAGAATGTTAGTTTGATAATATTCACTAAAATTCTTCAATTGAGTCAAAAATCTAAACTATTCCGTTAAATCATGATCAATGTTACTAGATTGTAAATGATTTTTCGATTTAAGATTTTAATCGATTAAACAATATAATCGATTTATATGGATTGAAAGCACTGTCAATCGATTATATTCGAGAAGAAAATCATCAGTCGCCGATTAAAATTAACTATTCGTAAAATTTGATTCCAAATTGATTAATAAAAAAGAATCTTTCAACGATTATTTTAATTTTCAATCGATTTTAATAGATGAAAGTAAGAAAATCGATGATAAAGCAAGAAAAAACGTTGATTTTGAATCCAATGCGCGAAAAAGTCGATTAGAATCTTAAAATTAATCAAATAAAAAACCATAATTGCCAGATTTTCATCGATTACTGAAGCAACGAATCGATGAAAATCATGCATATGCTGATTTTTACGTTTATTTTGTTGGCATAGGTTGCCATATACAAAAATAGATCTTCTCATCTCGAGATGCTCAGAAAAAAGCTTTCCAAAAAAAGAACAATGGATGGCGCACCAGCTTAAGAATAAATCATTTCATCATTGTTCGACTCTTGCCAGCATTTGCATAGAAAAACATCTGCCCACCACCAATGTAATCTTACAGATTTTACTAGGACTAAAATACACCAGCATCTGCCGCCAACGTCATTATTAAATGCGTGTGCATCTGCCATAGATGAATAGTGTTGTGCGTTAATGTGCCACGTTTTCTAATCATCTTCTATAAATAATATTCTTACATTCAAAGTGCATAACGAGGTTACAATGAGTGACCTACTAACTAAAGCAAAGCTCTTGTGGTCGAAATAAAAAAATAAAAACGGTCCAAGCACAACAATTAATTTCAATACAGATAAATTGTTTTTCAATTTACTGATTTTTTATTTTACTCTACAATTCTAATTAGTACTGTTGACCGTCCGTTTCATTATTCAAGAGGAAGTACTTGAATAATATTGATAAGAGAAATAGAAGTGATAATTTCGACATTTCGCTTTGAATAATTATTTTTGAGACGAATGAATTAGATAATCATTAGAATGATTTTCTTTTATTGGAGCATGCCAGAGTTAGTGTTGGATCACACTAACGCAAAACGATGATTAAGTTGCGCCTTCTAGTCTAATTGGCCTAGGACAACCTCCCACACACCAGGAAGTATGGGTTGCATTACCATGAAGCTCAACTTTTGCATCAGTCAGTCATTTAACATTAGTGAAACTGCTGGTCTCTTTTGTTTTATACATATTAGAGCATAACGGACCATGACCTAAAAATACTTATCAGATGGTTGGATTTTTTGCCAAATATATTGCACCCAGTGACGAAATAATGTCCCTTTTCGTGTATATACGTCATCACTATTTCAATTCTTGTTGACTCCATTCATCTAACAAAAAAGTACATTCTTTTTCTTCTTTCCTTTTCGACCTAGTTCTTTGACAACTATAAATAAAGGTACGGAAATGAAATGTTTGATACATAATCATCTACAGCACAAACATGCAAAAGTTGTTCATCGTAATAGCATTAGTAAGTTGATTCCTGTTTGCATCAACAAGCATATATGTACATCCTTCTTCTTTTTATTAGATATGCTTTAGCCTCGCTACGGCTGCGCCACATCATAGTCGACACCATCGTCACGGTAGTGGTCATCATCGAGCGCGTCGTTCCGATCAGAATCCATCGGGTGGTGTGGAACATTCTGAATCGTCTGGAGAGGATCATTCTGAATCGTCTGGAGAAGATCATCCTCGATCACGCCGTTCTGATCCAGTTCCAGCGACTGGCGGAGATCATTTAAGATTCCGTCATGGTAATCATTCTGAATCGCATAGCAAGCATCGTTTTCCATCCGGTCATGGCAATCATTCAAAATCCCATGCTGAGCATCGTTTTCCAGCCGGTCATGGCAATCATTCTAAATTGCATGGTGGGAATCATCCTCGATTGCGTCGTGCTGATCAGCTTCCATTGACCCTTGGGGATCATGCTAAATTAGTTCACCAACATCATGACAAGTTCGCTGCTGCACATCATGCTAAATTGGCTGATGAGCATCATGACAAGTTGGCTGCTGCACATCATGCTAAATTGGCTGCTGAGCATCGCGTTCCTTATGGTCATCCCAACCATTTTGACAGTGAACATCACTGAAACAGTCTTTATTTTCTGCTTGTCATTTCTTTGATAAATCTTATTGAAATGTGAAAAAAAGCATTTTTTTTCATCCGATCTATATTTTGCTTTGATAAAATTATTGAAATAAAATCGAACAATCATAAAGCATTAAAAAATCTCTCGTTTGATTTTACATTATGACTGTCCCTTGCTCGAGTAGTGATGTTGAACAGCTCGGGATCTCCTCGTCGGGGGTTTTGGAACATGTATTATCAATGAATGATGCGCAACCTCAATTTCGATTGTTTTATTTATTCAAGTGCACTTTTCTACAAAAACGTCTCTCAGTATCATTGTTGATTAATATTATATTCATGATCGAAAATCGTAAACTAGCAAAGAGCTTCTGCATCCACCAGTATAATGATAGATCGACTAAACATATTCTTTCGTTTTCTTTTCTCTAGTAGGTTGTCTACGGGTATGACTCATTTAACCCTTCAGTACGCCTAATATTGAGAATATTTATTGCACGGAATAACTATTTGAAAACATAACGCTCTAAATGGACCTTCTGAAACAAGTGCATAATAATCTATCATATCGGAAGCGAGAAGAGATAAGATAAAAGATTTAGTATCTAGCTATTTCATTCGTTCAATTAGTGCTATTGAGCACAACCAGATGTATGTATTAATCGTGTAAATGAGACCATCATGCTTTATATCCTTTTTGTCTTTCATCATCAGCTAGTATTTGTCCGACGGTAATACCATCTTCCGTTGTTTCAATTATTTTTCTAAATATTATCTATAGGTGTTTTTAGTTTGTTTTCTTTTGGAAACGCATTGTGACAGAGTGACTATGGTAGTAAATTATCGTGAAGAACAAACGAAAGACTGCAATAATATTTGCATGTGAAATGTTCTTTTAAGGATTTTGTTATCATTTTGAATAAACAACATGGTTTATTTGAATAGCGGCTAGTGCACCTGTAAGTACAAGAAGAATTTTACCATTCTATCTTTTTTCAATGTTCTCATTGTTCTACCCTGAAATAAAAAAGACACAAGATGGTGCTGGGTCTATCGATCAATACTAGTTCTTTACAGTGCGTATTTGAGCAAAGAAATAAAATGGGTAGGTTATCATTTGCCCCAAAACTGGTTAGCACAAATCAATCCCCAAATAAAATCCCCATTTGGGGTAATCAAACGAATGAAGTGAGGATATTGATTTGGGGATTTTTTTAAATTCACTAAACATTAGAAAAACAGCTCTACGATGAATCTGATGACCAGATTATATCTTGGGTTACTATAAAGTGTAGCTTTTGGCGACCCATAATATATTCTGGCCACCAGATTCATCGTAAAGCTGTTTTTCTTATGTTTAGCCAATTAAAAAATCCCCAAATCAGTATCCTCACTTTATTCATTTGATAAGTCCAAGCGGGGATTTTATTTGGGGATTGATTCGTGGTAACCAGTTTTGGGGGTAAATAATAGGCATTCAGAATCTGAGAGAATTAATTCTGCTTATAAGATTCTTAGAGAAGTAGTACTGGTTTGCCAGAATCTTACTGAACTGATTCTGGTTACCAGAATCTAAGGAAACTAATTATTCAGCGATCTACAGTCAATGGCATTATAAAACATAAGTACAGAATAGTGTGAATACTAAGATGCTATTTGGTGATAGTTTGAACAGGATTTTATGTATTTAAAACAAAAGTTGTCAATTGAAAAATCCCTAAATCCAAATCCGTATTTGATCACGTTAGCAGATCATAATTGTTTAACAATCCAGATATGTGGATGTGATGAACGGATGGATCTGTTCACCACAACTTGCGGTTAAGTCTAGACATTCATTTTTTCCACCACACTCTAAAATACTTTAATTCTATCTTTTTCACCGGTTTTAAAAAAGTTTGGCATTTAATTGACAGTTGAATATTTCTCTTTTATGAAGAGAAAAGAAAAGAAAAATATAGTGATCGAATAAAAAAACGATACTGGTGACCGGAACGATATTTTAACAGTCTACAGTCGTTAGTAAAATATTTATCCAATAAATAAAAAAAATTCATTCTGGTTACGAGTGCTATCATTTCCCACAAATTGAAATCCCCAGATACATTTCTGCATCCTATCTACGCTTGTGGAGAATAAAACAAATATGACCCATTCTGGAGACCAAATAGGGGTTTTGATTTAGGGGTTTTTCAATTTAAAGTTTTTTTTCAATATACGACATGGCTTATAAATCATAATTGAACATCATCTTCTACCGAAAATCTTTTGTCACTGAAACTAAACACTTTGACGCTAACCATAGTACAGATAAGTACGTTCTGGTTACCAGAATCGTACATATTCGATATTCATTAGAATCATTTCGAAAAGTAATTCTGTTTATCAGAAACTCGGAGAGTTGATTCTGGTGACCAATAATATTGGTCACCAGTGTTACCAGTACCTAGTATACTGGTATACTGTAAACTAAAAAATAATTTATAGAGTTTAGTGAATAATATTCTAGGAATGCCTATATGAATTCAACGACGAGTTTCTATCTTTTTGAAAATAAACTAACGATATTCTAACTGTGATTTAACACAGGCAGTAAATCTGATATTCTAAGGTTTAGAAAATCTACTATTTTCAAAATAATTGAAATTCGATTAATAAATCATAAAAGTTATAAAATCCATTAGCTTACTCTACATTAATTTTCTTCAGAGTAGAATTTAAAAAATTACTATGCACTGATGAACCCCTATCTGGGGCCGTGTTCAGTGGTGACTTGAACAGCATATAGTATTTAAAAAAATCCTTAAACTGAAAAATCCCTAAATCAAAATCCCTATTTGGTCACCAGAATGGGTCATATTTGTTTTATTCCCCACAAGTGTAGATAGGATGTAGAGATGTGTCTCGGGATTTCAATTTATGGGAAATGATAACCAACCCTGGTTACCACATCAATGTTTATCATAGAATCAGTGTTGGTAGTATCGTGAATAAGAAGAATAGGAGTGGTGCATGCTACTGATTATAAATGGTCGTGAAAAAGAATAGTTCAATTATCTCCTTGAGAAAAGCGAGGATGTTCGTTCACATTCGCCATAATGTTTATGGTAATTCTTATTGATAATCAGTGAAAGCTATGAATAGCTTGTTTTGCTTTGTTTTCTGTGGTTCTGGTCACCAGACTACCAGGTTAAAATTTTTACATATCATTGATAAGTGGAATTTTTAAATACTAATTGTAATCCTTCTCCAGTAATTCTCTCGCATTTACCCCATCGAGTGTGTCAGTAAGTCCCGAAATTTGATCGTACAATACATGTACAACTCAAGTTTTGTAATATGTGCATTGCTACTCACTCTTATCAATAGCATAACAACAGCACAGTTAGTAAAAGTAGTGGTGGGTTACCATTTACCCCCAAAACTGGTTACTACGAATCAATCCCCAAATAAAATCCCCGCTTGGAGTTATCAAATGAATAAAGTGAGGACACTGATTTGGGGATTTTTTAATTGGCTAAACATAAGAAAAACAGCTTTACGATGAATCTGGTGGCCAGAATATATTATGGGTCGCCAAAAGCTACGCT